GCGGTATATAACACGCCGCTTCCCCACCACCGCTCGCCGGGGCATCGACGTATTTCAGAGCAATGGGGGCGCTGGGGGGCGCGCGTGCGAGCAAGAGCACCAAGGGGCTGCTGCAGCCGTGAGGGGGGAGGGGGGCGGCCTACGCCCGCGGACCTGAATCGCCTGGACGCTCTCCCGGGAGCTCTTGCCCTCCGCAGTGCACACCTGCCCAGCACAGGGCCATTGGAAGGGAGGGGGCGGGGGGTCTCGGCCCGTTTGTGTTTCTCCTGTTCGCTTGACACACGAGAGTTTGCCCAGGGGCCGCCCGCCTCGCCGGCCCAACGCGGCTCGCGCCTGGTAGTTAGTTCGACGGGCTCTCTCTAACCCCCTCTCTCTCCCGGCTCCGCCCGTCGCACAACGCAAATATTTGGCGGTGCAAGCCGGAAACATGGCGGCGGCGAAGGGCGGTGAAGGGTGGGTGTGTCCCTGTCCCCCCGAGTAATTTGTCCGCAAGCGCCCCCTCCTACCGTCCTCCCTCCCCCCTCTCTCTGCTCACACACGCTAGCGCAGCCCGGGCGGGTCGCTAACCTCCCCGCCACACACCCCTAGAGCTAAGCCCATCACACCCCACCGCAGCGCTCGGGCAAGAGAGGGGAGGGAAGGAAAGTTCGACCTGGAAGAACACATACACCAACAAGACGGCAACTCCTCACCAATCGCAATTTAGAACAAACTCCGCGCGGAAGGTGTCAAGCTCCGTGCCCCCTCCCCCCTCTTTTCCCTTTTTTCCGCCGGTGACGCGGCTTTGCTGGCAGGTTGTGACCTCACGTCCCCAATGAATGGCGCGAATGAGGCCGGGACGCGCACAGAATGGCGGGGCGGAGCGCTCCGCGCGACTCTGCGCCGCCATTGTGGTCCGCGCGGCTCCTGCCGGATGCTGGACGGTCCGGTCCAGCAGGGCCGGGCGTGGCGTGTGCGGCAGTGCCGCTTGGTGCCGCATGATGGCCCAGTCCGGCGATGCCCCCCGCGCGGGCCCACCCGGCCCCGCCGGCAGGGACACGCCAGCAGGGACGGACAATTGCGTAGGTGGCGGGGCGGGCCGAGGAACGAGAGCAGGTGTCTGGTCGATGGGGCCCCGCCCGTCTACCCAACCCAGCCTGGCCCAGGCAGGCGGGTCCACGCCGCCCTCTGAGTAGTACGGCCCGCAGGAGACCTCTGGTTCGAAGGTGACCTGCGGCCCAATCTCCGTGGGAGACCTCTACTTCGCGGGTGATCTCTGGCCCCACCCCCGCGGGTCACCTCGTCCCGCTCAAGCCCCACCCTCGCAGGCGCCGAAGCAAGGCCGTCGTCGTCCTCCAGGTGTTCAAGGCAAGGCCCTCCCAGCTCGCTGGCCCACTTTACCCAGCCTATGGCCCCCACAAACTTGGCGCCAATCCGTCAGCTGATCGCCGCGCCGACCCGCCCCGCCGCGGGCCCCAGGCGCCATCGACCCGCTGCGTGAGGACTGGGGCTGGCGCCGGCGCGTCGAGGGGGCGGGCGCACAACACAGGCGCCGCAAGGGGACCGCACGGGGACGCCAGTTTATGGCCGAACCAAGAGAGAAGGTCTCTTCATCCCCTACACGTCCGCGTCCACACGGAACGCCCTCGAGGGGGCAGCGCAGGGCGGCGAGCGAGGCGCTGAGGGCCGCGGCAGGTGGAGGCCTGGAGGTGGCGGCGCCACCCCCAGCCCTGCCCAGCCCCCAGTCCACCCCACCACGCGGCACGAGCATTATTCAAAGCCGATTTTCAGCTTTATTACATTACGGGTCCCGAGGCCCGGGAGCAGCACGCCCGCTCGCCCCGCTCCCACCAACCCCCACAGCTCTGCCTGCAGCGGGCCAAGTCGGTGCGGCGATGCAGTGGAGCCCCTCCCACTGCCCGGACAACCAACCACCCACCCTCCTCCGATCTTTCACTGCTCTGGTGCGGCGGAATATGGGTCGCTCCGCGCTCCGCTCCCCTCCCCCGGCCCGGCGTGGAGTAGGCAGGGCTGTCGGTGACCTTCACGTCGACCTCGCCGCCACTGCCGCGAGCCCCTCGGCATCGCAACGGGGGCGACCTGGGACTGGGACCTGGTGTGGTGCTAGTGCGGTAGTTC